AAGTAGCAGATTTCCCAGAATTCTCAGGAGAAGGCCATGCTTGTCTATCTCCAGATTGACAGCCCCGACTTCATCCCTACACGCTTAATCCTTAAATTGACACCAGACTAGGTGACTGCCACAGGGTGTGTGTGATAAATATCACATCGCATCCTGATGAAGGAGGCTGCTTGCTGTCATGTGCTCTTTGTCCTCTGGGTGATGGCTGGGAAATGAAATGGAGATGTAAACATTTTATTGCAACGAGAAACGGAAGTAGACAGGCTTTATTCAAGTAGCTGATCTGTCTGCATATAGGAAAACTCTCCTGTTCAGGGAATCAGAAATGTCCATTTTAGGTGCAAATACAGAGTAGAATATATCAGCAATGGCCGGATCATGACACCAGGAGTCCTGGTGGCGACAAGTCGGGTGGCTTGTGTTCAGATCTACCAACAATTCTGTAAGCAAAAGATGAGGCTCTCTACTCCCATCAAGAATGACAGTCTCGGGAGCCCACAGGATAATCCCACCCTGTCCACTAGGGTCAGAGTCAACTCTACGGCTGTGAGTTTCGCCTGGGTTTGGTAATTGACTCACAGAATGAAGGCTATCATTGCTGGTGGATTTTCTCTGAAAGCAGAGCACACCAGAAACACACTTTGTTTTATGAACCCTGCAAAGGCAACTGACTCTGTGGGTCATACCATTTATGGATAAAGTTATGAAGAATGGAATTCCTGAACGTTCCATTTTCCTCCCGAGGAACCTGCACACCGAGCAAGAGGCCACCGTGTAAACACAACAAGGAGGCCCTGCTTGGTTTAACACTGGGAAAGGGGGTGCCTCGGGGTAGTTGTCTTTCGCTTTACTTTCACCTATTCGATCTGAATGCCGAGCAAACCACCCGAGAAGCTGGGCTGTGTGGAGAACGTAGCGTTGGGATTAGAGGCGGCCTTCGTGAACAGCCTGGCACATGCAGATGTCACAACTCTGCTTGCTGAAAGCAAAGAGACTTGAAGTACTTGCTGATGAAGACCCTTCCTCATGGATTGCACCCCGACGCAAAGAACACAAAAATCCTCACAACTGGACCCATATGAAACATCCTGAGAGACAAAGACATGGTCAAAGCCCTCAGGGATTTCATTTTATTGGGATCCAAAATCAATTCCCATGGAAGCAGCATTCAAGAAGTTAAACAGTAGATTGCTCTGGGTAAATCTGCTACAAAAGACCTCTAGAACATGGTCAAAAGCAAAGGTGTCACTCGGTGGCCTAAGGGACATCTCACCTAAGACACACTATTTTCCAACAGCCTAATATGCATGACACTGAATACGGAAGGCTGAAGAGGAGAGGATGCCTTTGAATTATTATAGCCTGGCCATTGTGTACTTGAACACGAACAACCGGAAGGCTTCTGAAGAAGGTGACAAAACTTTCTTCCAAGGATGACAACATTGGCCATGCTGTCAGGAGGGACCAGTCTCTGGAGAAGAACATCATCCTTGATATAGCTCAAGGTCATCAAAAAAGAGGACCGCCTTCAATGAGCGGCTCAGTAATGGGCTCACGCACAGCACCCCTCCTGAGGCCGATACAGGGCCAGACGGTATTTCCTTCTGTTGTACACAGGTCACCATGAATCACGAGCCATCTCGATGGCACCCAATGACTTCCGCACTGGGGGGTCCTGCTTCCTTCCTTCCCGAGATTGCACGCAGACTTGTGACCTGGCTGAGGGAGCTCGAAGACTTAGGAAACTCGGAAGGATTAGAAGTGTTTTCGTGGGAAACACGAGCAAGGACTACGTTACTTTTTGGTGAATTACTAATTCACTTTGGGGTTTGCTTCCCTGCAGAGAGTAAACGTTAAATGACTCATGGTTCACGAACACCTTGTCCCAGAGGGGGTGGGGAGTTTATGTTTCCATTATCACTGGGTTTCCAGCCCAGCGGTTCTCAACTTGTGGGTCGTGACCCCTTTGGGGGTCAAATGACCCTTTCACAGGGGTCGCCTAAGACCCTCGGAAAACACATATTTCCGATGGTCTTAGGAACTGAAACACCGCTCCTCTATCCGTCTCTAGACGCGTCTGCCCACATGCAGATATGCTCACACACGAGTACCTGGCATGATGTCATCATCGCGCCAACCCCATCACCTACGCCCCGTACAAATACAGGTGTATGTGACAGGGTTGGCGCCATAATGTACTTATGCGGTAGAGAGCAGCTACTGTGTAGAAAGCAGTGCTGTGTTGAAAGCAGCAGTATTGGAGGTAAAACGACACTCCATGAGTTATAATTACATATTGTTTTTGTGATTAATCACTATGCTTTAATTATGTTCAATTTGTAATAATGAAAATACATCCTGTAACTGAAAATACAGGTCATCCAGGACGGATGAGCCCTATAGGACCAGTGGTGTGAGTGGCAAAACAGGGAGGGTAAAGGGAGAATGGGTAGGAAAGAGGGAACCGATTACATGGAACTGTGTGTGACCTCCTCCCTGGGGGACAGACAACCAAAAAGTGGATGAAGGGAGACGTCGGACAGGGCAAGATATGACAAAATACCCATTTATAAACTATCAAGGGCTGATGCGGGAGGGGGGAGCGGGGAGGTAGGGGAAAAATGAGGACCTAATGTCGGGGGTTTAAATGGAGAGAAAATGTTTTGAGAAACGATGTACAAATGCGCTTTACACAATTGATGTGTGTATGGATTGGGATAACAGTTGTATGAGCCCCTAATAAAACATAAAAAAAAAAAAAAGATATGACAAAATAATAATGACTTGTAAATTATCAAGGGTTCATGAGGGAGGAGGGAACGGGGAGGGAGGGGAAAAAAATGAGCTGATGCCAGGGGCTCAAGTGGAAAGCATATGTTTTGAGAATGATTATGGCAACAAGTGTGCAAATGTGCTTGACACAATGGATGTATATGTATGGATTGTGATAAGCGTTGTACAAGCCCCAATAAAATGATTTTAAAAAATAAAAAAATAAAATACATCCTGCCTATCAGATATTTTTATTACGATTTCTAATAGTAGCAAAATGACAGTGATGAAGTAGCAACGAGAATCATTTTATGGTTGGGGTCACCACCACATGAGGAGCTGTCTGACAGGGTGGCGGCACAGGGAAGTTTGAGGACCACTGCTCCAGCCCGTCTCCTTGTGTGTCTCTTTCCGGGTGCATTCCTCATGGTCAGAGACCTTTGTGACATCTGTTTACTCCACTCACTGACATCCAGCGGACGCCAGCTCATAGCTACCTTATAGGACAGGGCGGGGCTGCCTCTGTGGGTTTTACGGGAGTAGAAAGCCCCCTCTTTCCCCTGTGAGTGGCTGGTGGTTTCAAACCACGACCTGGGGGCCAACAGCCCAATGCATAACCACTATGCCACCAGGGCTCCTGAGACCCACAGTGGGCTTTTCTGTCCATCTCCTGTTAAGTGTTACTCGTCAGTGATGGTCTCCAGGGCCTTCGCACACAGTCTCTTTACTCTTCCTTAGGTCTACAGGCCCACCCCTCTTCCCCCTCCTGCCCCCACGCACAGCACTCCTCAGCCTGGAGCCCTCTTTCCCTGTACACCCAGGGGGGCTCACACCCACCCACTTCAGTCTTGACTCAAATAGCACCTTCTCGGGAGGCCTCTTTATTCCATTCAATTTAAAATGTAACCTGCTGGCACACCTATACCCCCATCCCTGCTATGGTGGAGTGGTTATGCACTGGGCTGCTAACCACAAGCTCAGCCGTTCAAAACCACCAGCCGCTCCCCAGAGAAAAATGAGGCTTTCTACTCCAGTAAAGACGTCCAGTGGTGGAAACCCACAGGGGCAGATCCACACTGTCTCATGGGGCCTCTCTGAGTGGCAGCTGCATTTCTCTCTATTGAGCCCATCGCCATGTGGGGCACCAGGCATTTCATTTCTCTACTTGCTTTATTCACCCCACCTGAGTTGAGGTTTGTTTATTGTTGCGTCCCAGGCACCAAGACCTGCTGAGTGCAGCTCTAAGCACACAGTAGGTGCTTTAAGATGTTCAAAGCACATTGTAAGTGTTGATGGGCTAAGTGCATGCGTGGAACCATTCCCAGCTCCTGCTGGGATCTCTTTTGGGGGCAGAGTGGGCACAGGTTTAGGGCCCTTGTTCCCCAGGACTGCGTCACATAGCGACCCTCCAGGGCAGATTCTACCCCCTCATGGGGTTTCTCAGCTAAGGCTTCCGGCTTCCGGGCTTCTCTCCTACCGAGCCAGCGAATGGGCTGCACCCTCTGACCTTTGCACTAGTAGCCCAGGTCTACCCACTGAGCCACCAGCCAGCAAGGAGCAGTGGCAGATGGGGCGCAGGAGGGAAGAGGGGCTCTGGGTGGTGTCAGCAGTGCCAGCTTGCTGCTACATGTAACCCCGGGCTCAGGTGGGGAGGAGTTCCAATAAGCCCCCTCACCTCAAGCAACCAAGTGGTCTGAGCCCCAAGCAAAGGGAGAGAAAACTGGGAGGCAGCAGCCCTGCCACCTCCCCCTGCCACCTCTCACAAAACCTCAGGATCAGAAGACAGAGCAGGGGAGATGGGTTGCCAGTGGCGAGAAGGTAACCTTCAGGGGCGACGCTGGGTCCCCCAGGAGAACGTACAAGGGATCTGATATGGTCTTGATACATCCCTGTCACCTGCCTGTCTTTCACTCTGAGCGCGCCGAACCCGGTGTCCACTCACCCAGAGGGCTGAGCTTTCAATCAGCACCGTCAGCAGTTGCCCACCGAGCAGGCTCTGGGCCGGCGCGTGAACAGGGTCGCCCAAACGGGCGTCCAGCACAGGCAGGCGCCTGTTAAGGTACAGAACGCTAAGGTGCAGCGAGGGAAGGTATCTGAGGGCGCCTTGGTGGGGAGACCAGGGGAGCAGGGCGCGGGCGCGGGGGTTCTGGGACCCTGCCCACCTCTGCACGCAGGAGAAGCGCGTGGCCCACGAGGAACAATGACTCGCCCACGGTCACTCCGCAAATCGTGAGGCCGCCGGGGAGAGGGGTCAGCCCAGCGTCCCACGGCCTGGACGCGGTGAATGGCTGGGACTGCATGGCTGGGGTGGAGAGGGCGACTCCTGGGCCCCCGGGGGGTGGGGAAACGGGGGCAGGGGGCGGCCCCGCTGACGTCATTTCCGGGGTCGGGGGTATATAAGCGGGGCGTGAGGGCGCTGCAGCAGCTGCAGAGCTAGAACCGCGCGAGGAGAGCTCAGCGGACGCGCGGACAGACAGACGCACCCGGAGACAGACGCTGCGCCCCGTGCCCGCCCCTGGCCGGGAACATCCGCGGTGCCCGGCCCCAGACCGCCACCGGCTCCGCCATGCGCTCCGCCGCCGTCCTGGCGCTCCTGCTCTGCGCGGGGCAAGGTGAGCGGGCGCGGGGAGCGGGCCCGGGGCCGCCGCGCCTTCAGCACCGCGGACAGCGCCTCGGAGGCCTGAGGTCGGCGCCAGCTCCGCGCCACCCCGGGCTGGCCAAGGTCACTGGGGAGGTGGCAGGGCTGCTGCTGGGCGCCAGCCTCTCCCTCTCCCTCCTCGTCTTTCTGTCCTTGTCGTCTGCCTCCCCGCCACCTCTCACAGGCCCCTTTCCCCTCAACTCCGCAGCCCCTGCACCACTCCCCTGAATTCTTTCCCCAGTCTTCTGCACCCCTCTCATCCTCATACACCCCACCCTTGCCCCCTGCAGCCTCTCCCTGCTCCTCTGCACTTTTCCCCACCCTCCGCAGCTCTCTGCACCCCCCCCACTCCCCTGCACTCTCTCCCTGTCCCCCTGGACCCTCCCCCCACCCCTGCACCTTTCTCTGACCCTCTGCCCCCTTGCACTCTCTCCTCACCACTTACACCCCACCTCTTCCTGTCCCCTTGCACCTTTCTCCAGCTCCTTGACCCCCACAGCCTCTCCTGTCCTCCTAAACTCTCTCTCTACCCCATGCACCCCCACCTGTCCTCAGCTGTTTGTATCACCCCAGCCTCAGGTCCCACACTTTGGTCAGAGCAGGGTCTTCCAGAAGGAAACTGGTAGGGCAGCCTCATGGGACAGCAGTTGGGGACTGGAAACAAAACCCTCCCCAGCTCCAGGCCACTGTAGGAGCCACTTTGAGAGGGACCGTGGGGCAAGTGGACCCCTGGACTCTCACCAAGCCGAGGGGTGACCCCAGCTCTCTCTTCCTTCTCAGCCGTCGCCCTCCCGGTGGCCAGCCTGATGAGTAAAGGGGATACTGAGGTAAGACGGGGTGCTAGGGCACCTGGGGCGGGAGGTCCATGGGCACCTTGCCACCAGTTCTTGGGCAGCTGCAGGAACGAGGCTGGCATAAAGCCAGAAGGCAGCACTGCGGCTGCCGAGCCTGGGGACAGCTTGCAGAAGAAAATATCAAAGATTACTACTTCTCCCAGTGGTCCCGCTGTGGGAAATCCTGCTTCCTCTGACCTGGCCTCGAGGCCCTCCGGACTGGCTTTGATTCTCACCTGCAGGGCTGAAGTGGCTCCAGCACTTGGGGGTGGCATTCCTGTCAGTGAGAAACGCCTTCAAGAGCCTTGCCCGGGTTGCACCCTCTGCCCTCACCCTCCTTTCCTTGGGGCTCAGCAACACCCTCCCCATTCCATTGGTGCCCAAACCCTCGCTCCCCCAAAGGGCAACCATTCTTGATCAAGCCTGCACCTGGGGTCCTAGACACTGATGGGAGAGGTCACCAGACAAGGGAGGCACAAACAGGTTCTTGCCCAGCCAGACACACTTGGGCATGAACTCGGATGCACTCAGTTTGATGAGCCCCCCACCCCCGGTGCTGATCAGGAACTGTCCTATTTCACATCCCGGAGACCCAAGTTCAATCCCAAGGACTAGGGTGCTTCCTGCCCTCCAGGTTGTGGAGGGAACAGAGTGGGAAGAAGCCTCTCCCACACCCTCCTCCATGCCACCTGGGAACGTGCCTTCCCTTCCCTGGGCCAACTGTCAATATTGCCCTGGAGCACTGGAGGGTGCAGGAAGTGGCATGTCGGGCACATAGTAGGCCCTCAGCCAGAGGGCACGGTTATTCCTGGAGGTTCCATCCCAGATCTCGCCTCTACCTCGGGAGCCCACGCAATCCCTCTCCCGGAATCTGTCTCCTGCACCTGGGGGCATCTGATGTCCCCAGTGCAGAGTCTAGGGCCACAACCCCTGTGGTCCCAGATTATGTCCAGCTGTGGGGTCAGGGGCACAAAGCAGCAGGCAAAGACCAGAATGTCCCAGCTGGGAAGGTGACTGCACACTTGGGGACTTGTTTGCCAAGTTGCTACCCCAGATCCTGGGGCTGGTTGCCTTGACACCCCGCAGACACAGCCTGCCACCGCCCCCTCGCTCCCCACCAGCGCCTGGTGGGAACTAACACTCCTGCCCCTCTGCAGGCTGGAGGCAGAAAAGGGGGGGCTGGTGCTTCGAACCCTTCCCTGTGTTGGCACTTCCTGGCCCTTTCAGGGATTCTCATTCCCATTTTACAGATAAGGAAAGTGAGGCTCAGCTCCAATCCTTTGCCCAAGAAGGGGCCATCATCTATCAACACCACGTCCTAAGGGCCGCGTGGTTCCAGCCCCTTGCTGGGCACCTCATCAGACTGGCAGAGGCACAGCTAGTTGGGCTGGGCTGGGGACATCCAGCCAAGGGGGCTCGTGGGTGGAGAAAGACCAGCCTGAGGCGTTCCCTCACCGTACAGGGCAACCCAGGGACACTGCGGGAGCCAGGGACCCAAGTCTTATTTCCAGACAGGCCACGGCCAGAGAAGGCCTTTGCTCCCGTCTGAGCAGTCCCGAAGGACTTCCGGGAGGAGCTGGCCCTTGAGCACCTGCCAGACCCCCCATTCCCGGCAGCTTCTCCATCTTTAGACAAACACCGCTGGGGGGTGAGAAGCTACCTGCCCCACCCTTCGTCCCACGGCCACCATGAGCAGCCTTAAAGGGCCCCTGCCCCCCCTGCTCCTGGGGCATCCAGCACAGGGTTTCCTGTCATCCTTGCTGTGATCGCCTGGCTAAGGGGACAGAGCAGTGCCTGGGAGCCTGGCACCAGTGGACCCCTGTGGACAAGAGCTAATGTCCTGATAGCCTTAGAACTCTGCCCAGTCAAGCTCCATGCCTGAGCCAGTCCGCCCCCACCCTCTCCTCTCTGCTCAGGTGATGGAGTGCATCGTGGAGGTCATCACGGACACGCTGTCCCAGCCCAGCCCCATGCCCATCAGTCACCAGTGCTTTGAGACCCTCCGAGGAGGTACGGGCCAGAGCTCGGGATGGGAGCTTAGGAGAGGGTGTGTGTGTGGCTTTTGATGGACTCAGGGCATCAGTCTGTCCAAGTGTCTGTCCAGGCACATGCTGGGACCAGGGTACAGTGGGATATAGGGGCCAGAGCCCGCAGCATACAGGGGATGTTTAAAAAGCTGCAGGGGGCAGATCTGAGCCATGGAGATAAGGGACTCCAACTGCAGGCAATACGTACGAGACCTGGGCTGGAACAGCAAGCCCATGGGGGCGGAGCGCCCACAGACAGAGGTGGGGCTGCCTTGGTCCCAGGGCCTCTCGGCACCTGGTGGGCACCCTGCAGAGATGTGAGGAGTAAATGAATGTGGGGTGGTTGGCGGGGGTACAGGAGGAAAGAGCTTTTTTTCTAAGCAAGCCACTGGATAGATGGAGCCGTGGGCACTTGGCTTGGCCTTAAAATCCACAAGAGTCTCCTGGGAGTAGAAGCCATCTGGCAAAAGTGCGGAGATGGGGAACGTGTGTGGTTTGTAGACAGCCCTCAGGCCCTTGGCTGGGGCCTGGGTGCTGAGACCGTGAATACGGACCCCTAATCGAGAAACGGGGTTTAGATGTGTCATCTCCAGACGCAATTCGCTGCTGCCATGTGGGCTCCGAGTGTCCAGAGAAAATATCTTGTGCTCAGCTGAAAAGGTTGACCATCTCCTGGGCTGCTTGCTCCCTAGACACCCCCACACCCCCATAACAACTCTCTTCACTGCAGATGAGCGGATCCTCTCCATCCTGCGGCACCAGAACTTACTGAAGGAGCTCCAAGACCTCGCCCTGCAAGGTATCTACCAGCCACTGCACAGAGTTCTGGGTAAATCCCAGCAGTGGAGGTGGACAGATGCCTGAGCAAGGCTCTGTCTCCTTCTGGTTCTGTTACCTCCTGCCCATGATGGAATGGCAAGGTGAGGGCTGATCTGTTATTGAAACTGTTAAAGAGATCAAGGCTTGGAGGGGTTGAGTGACGTGCCCAAGGTCACAGTGAGGTGGTGACGTGCCCAGACCAGAGGTGGCACTCCAATTACCCATGGATTCAGTAGCTCCAGCTCTCCAATAGACATCGTCAAGACTAGGAAAGACCTTTGAAGGCAGGAAGGGACCCCTGTCCTCTGTTACTTGGAAACAAAGTTCATATCTAGGGGCTTCTGTCGATGGAGGGGCAAGCAGGCTTTTGGTCCCACCCCTCCAATCCAGGGTAGACTCTCAATGCGCTGCAGGGTGAAGTCTGCCTCTTACCACGAAACTTGAAGAAAAACAAAACACCCCAATGATGTTATTATGGAGAATGGATTACCTGTGTGAGGGAGGGAGCTTCTTGTCACTGGGGGTAGTCCAGCAGTCAGGGTAGGATGTTGGAGTAGAGGGTTAGCCTGTTATCATCACACACAGTGAGCTGCTCTGTCCCGCCCCAGCCTCACCCTCGGAAACCCGGGGTCTGGTCCCGCATGGGCCCGAGAGCATGCTCCGCAGCACGCACCTGCACCAGCTCCCAAACCAAGCTGGGTCTGGGGCAGCACGGGGTACACACGCTGAAGCCTGGGGCAGCCCATGCAGGGTGTGAGGACGGGCAGGGGTATGGGGGAGGGGAGTGCCAGGCATCACGGCAGCAGGGCTCCCGGGGCCCTTCTCCCGTCCTCGTGACGTCCACCTCCTGCGCTTGCTGGGAGGGAGAAGGGGGCACGCAGTAGAAGCTGCAGCTATTCTAATGCATAGTGTGAAGCCACCACTGTCCACCCTGGCGTTGCTGCTTTGACTAAACATCAAATATCTTCTCACAACCCAGCACTCTGGAAGCGAGATGACCAAGTGATTTCATGTCACTCATTCAATGTAATGTCAGCAGGGACGGTGTAACGGGGGTAGGTCCTGAAACAGCCTTTGCACACGGCCTTGGGGTCACTGGACCTGAATGACACCAAGTGAACACCCTCTCCGACGTGGGGCCGCTGCCCTTCACAGGGTGGTCCGTGGCTGGGTGTTCATTCGAAACAAATGCCCGGCCTGCCTGCTGAGCCGCCTCGAGGTGAACTCAAACCTCCAGCCTTTGGGTCAGCAGCTGAGTATCCTGGCTATCTGCACCAAGGAGCAAATCCATATAGAACACACACAGAGACACCACACACACATGCATACAACACAGCACACACATGCATACACACATGTACACATGCATATAACACGCAACATACACATTCATGTAACAGGTACAACACACATGCATATAACACACAGATACAACATATACACAGTGATGCAATATACATGCATACAACATACACACATGCGTATAGCATACACAGATACAACGTACATTGATACAATACACACACATAGATATAACATACACAGAGATACAACATACACACATTGATACAATATGCAGATACAATGCATACATATTGATACAATATATACACAGATACAACATACACATATACAACATGTGCACATGCATATAATATACACACATAGATACAATGGCTTTCAAGGGTGTCTGTCCATTCATCTGCTCCTTCTCCTGGGCTCCCACATGCACAGCTAAGCAGCCTTGCCCTGTGTGAAGGGGGGCAACCTGGTCTTCAGGGTCTGTGGTGCCCAGGGTCACCTCACCAGGTCTGCCTAGGCCAGAGCTGTGGCTGACCCCTGAAGTGCCCACCATGGTGAAGCACCACCGTCCAGTGCCAGGCCCAGGGTGGGGACAGCCAGAGGGGGCTGCAGCAGCCTGGAGGTCCCTGCCTGCAGGTAGAAAGGTCTCAGGTCCTGGTGAGGGGCTCAAGCCAAGCAGCAGTGCTGGGGCCTGGACTTGGGGGTCACCTGAGTCAAGAGCCCCTGTGAGGGGACAATCAGTCCCTGTGACTTCCGATGCAAAGCACAGAGTCCCCTGGGCTAGCAGCCAGATCCCAGGGACCTCTGACTCCCTACTCTCACCCTGGGGCCCTCGGCTCCACCTCTGGGCAGCAGGGCTTGTTCGTGATTCCCAGGTGGGGCGTCAGGGCCCTTGCCGGCAGGGGGCAGAGGCAGCCCTGGCCCCTGCACAACCCCCCATCCTACCCACCCCCACCAGCCCCGGGGCAGGCTTGGACCACATGTGCCCAGTTCACGGATGAAGAAGTGGAAGCCCTCACTCTCTGACCCTTGCTGGCTCGGGCTCTGACAAGAGGCCATTCTCCCTCCTTTCCTCACCCAGGTGCCAAGGAGCGGGCCCACCCACAGAAGCAGCACGTGGGGTTCCAGAATGAACTCTCCGAAGTCCTGGAGAGCCAGGGGGACAAGACTGAGCCGGAGGGTCAGTGTTCCCCACTGGCCGGAAGCCAGGCCGGGCGGGGGTAGGGGGGTGCTAGTCGAGTCCAGCCATAGCCAGTGTCCAGTTAGAAAAGACCTTCGACAGAGCCCTGCAGAGCTTGGGGGGCCGAGCGCGCTTCCCAGAGCGGAGAGAGGTGCTGATGGTGCCCTGAGGCACAGAGAGGCTAAGGGGCTTCTCCGAGGGCACCCAGCACCTCAGCAGACCTGGGGCTCTCTCCTGGGGTCATGTGCAAGGCCTGTTTTGAACGCATTCTATCTGGAGAGGCAGAAACAGTGGTCATCTCCGTGTGCGGGGGTGGGTGGGGGGTGGGTGGATGGATGGGGGGGGTGAGTGGGCCCGTTCTGGCGGGCGATGAAGATGCAGGGCTGAGACAGGACTGGCATCAGAGGAAGAAGGCCCAGCCTGGTCCCCAGGGCCGACTCTGCTGTTGTTTTCACAGAGGCCCTGAGAGAGGCACCCTCCAAGGACGAGGTGGAGAAAAGGGGCCCTAAAGAGGCGGAGAACCACGGTGCTCCACCCCCAGCACCCAGGCAGGAGTCTGAGATGGAGAACCAGCAGGCCCCTGAGGAGGAGGAGGAGGAAGAGGAGGAGGCCGCGAACACCCACCCCCCAGTCAACCCCCCTGGGCAGAATCCCCCAGGATCTCAGGCCGATGGGACACCTGAGAGCCCCTCACAGGACAGAGCGAAGATCCAGGATGCAGGGCACCAGGCAAAGGTCGAGGAGGAGGAAGAGGTGGCGGAGGCTGGAGAGAAGGCTGACTCTCAGGAGGAAGGCCCCACCTCGGCGCTGAACCCCGACTCAAGCCCCAGCTCCAAGGAGACTCCGAGGGGCATGAGTACGTATGACAGCTGAGCCCCCCACCCCGTGTCAGGGTGCAGGCAGGTGTGGGAGGGGCCCCCGCCTTCACAGCAGCCTCCAGCAGGGGGCAGCTCTATGTTCCGGCTGGAAACCGGGGCTCAGAGAAGTTAAGTGATTTGCCCAAAGTCCCACAGCTAATTGAAACTGACCCTCCATCCCCGCCAGCTCGATCTGACTCTCCACCCAAACCCCTCCAGAGGGGTTGGTACCCGGGGGTGAGAGGGGTTCTTCAGGGTGAAGAGACAAAGGGACAGCACGGGAGAGTGGGGACGGCCTCTGCTCCAACCAGGGGATGGGAGAGGCTCTCTCTGTTCTTCCTCCCCCTCCCCGTGGCCCATGTGGCTCTGGAGCTGAAGGCAAAGTGGGTCTCACCCCTACCCTGAGCAGTGGACTGTGGACATGCCCCTGTAAGACCTGACAGAGGAGGGGCCTTCCCAGTGGGGTCTGCTGGAGAGAGGCTGCCTGGCCCTCGACCAGCGCTGCCCAGGCCCTGGGGAGCGGCACGACCCGGGCAAGGCAGTGACCCCCCCCTCATCGTCCTGCCCTTGTCCACCTGCAGCTCCAGATGGGGCCATGGAGAGAGCCGGGAAGCCTGAGGCTGAGCAGGCTCAGCCCTCTCAGGGGAAGGGGCAGCAGGAAGACTCCCCTGAGGAAGAACAGATAGCAGGGACCCCCGAAGGCCTCCCCCGGGCTGGGAAGAGCGGGGAGCAGGAGGGGCTGCGCTCCAGCGAGTGGGAAGAGGCCGAGCAGGAAGAGGCCAAGCGGTGGAGCAAGATGGACCAGCTGGCCAAGGAGCTGACAGCCGAGAAGCGGCTGGTGGGGGAGGACTCAGCGGACTCGGACCCAGACCGCTCCATGAAGCAGCTCTCCTTCCGGACCCGGACCTACGGCTTCAGGGGCCCTGGGCCCCAGCTGCGCCGAGGCTGGAGACCGGCATCCGAGGAAGACAGTGTGGAGGCAGGCCTGCCCCTCCCGGGCCGAGGCTACCCAGAGGAGAAGAAGGAGGAGGAGGGCAGTGCCAACCGCAGACCCGAGGTTGGTATGGCCCGGCCCACTGAGGGGTCCTGAAGCCCCAAGGGGGACTTGATCAGGGGCTTCTGGGGGGACTACTCACCCCAGGGAAGAGAAAGCTTAGGAGGGTGGCAAGTTGAATGAGTTCCCAGAGGCACCAGGGGCAGGTTGGTGAGAGAAGCTGGCAGGGACCAGCATTGGGCCCCAGCAGCTCCGAGCTGGGCAGAGACAGGTCTCCGGATTGGGGGCCCACGGCCTCTCCTGGCCCCAAAGCAGTCCGCACAGCCTCCTCCCGGGTTAGGGGCAGGACCAGCCTGATGCTCAGATTGAAGACCTGGGTCTGCCCTGGCTGTGAGGCCTGGGGCAGGTCACTCTGCGCCCCACAGACCCTGCTATCTATGGGGGGTGGGCAGTAGTCTGCCCCTGCTAGTCTTGTGATTAGGACTAGGAGGGATGGGCCACCCTGGGTGCAGGGACAGCCCCAGGGGAGGGACTGGGGGTTCCTGGCAGGTGGAATGCAATCTGGGGCTGGCCCCAGATGTACCCTGGGCAGATGTGCCCCCAGTGCCCACGGGGAATAGGGAGTGACCACAGGGAACAGCTCGAGCCTCACCTGGCTTTGGGCCCCAGATCATGGCTATTCACCTTCGTGTACCCCCTACCCCTCAGCAGTCAGAGGTGAGGGGGGGTGCTCAGAGAGGCTGGCAGGACCCCTGCCCTGCAGGGTGGAGGTACGGGGTCCCCAGAATCCGTGCACAGGTACTCCGCATGGCCCAGGGTCTTCTTAGAAGCCCTCCTAGCACCTATAACTCACGGCCCCCCATCAATTTCCATACAGCCCACCTTAAGTGTCCCATTCCTGAGCCCTCTCAGGGAGCCCTTCACCAGCAGTGTCTGTGGACTGGCCTAGCCAGGACGCACTCCTGTCAGGCTCAGCTCCCACAACGCCTGGGCCACTGGAAGTTTCCAGGGTACAGAGGAGGCTCGGGGACTTCCCACCTCCCAGGATCACCCCCCTGGCAGCCAGGTAGCCACAGCCCCTCACGGCTCCACAGGTAGCTGAGGCCTGCAGAGAAAGTCCCAGAAGCCTAGGCCTAAGAACCATCATCCACATCCTAGGCTGAGTCCCCTGGATCCTCAGAGAGACCAGACCCCCTATCCACCCACCCCCACCACCATCCTAGCCACTCAGGAGGAGTTGGGCCTGGAAGGGCAGTCCCCTGGAGTGTGGGGTCCCTGCACCCCAAGTCACTGAGCAATCTGCAGAGCCCCCTGGTCAATGTCTCTATGGGCTGGACAAGTCCACTGGGGTGCCCAGGTCACACAGCTGACAACTGGCCCAGCCCATCTGGGCCAGTCCTGCCTGACCCGCTATCCTCTCCCAGGACCAGGAGCTGGAGAGCCTGTCGGCCATTGAGGCAGAGCTGGACAAGGTGGCCCACCAGTTGCAGGCACTGCGGCGGGGCTGAGGTGGCTGCTGTGCGGTCCTGACTGCGGGCCCCTCGCAGGTCCTGGCCAGACAGCTCCGGCACCGGACCCTGCCCCTCTGCAGAGTGACCCTCCCACGACTTTGAGCACCTCAACTCTCTGGGCACAGGCAGCTTTCTGCAAGTGCCTCTCCTCCCCGCTCCCACCCAGGTCCACTGAACACTGCAAAGACGGTGGCTTCCTGAGAGCCAGCTAACACTGTCTACACAAAACCCGTCTGCGGAAAATAAATCTGCTCGGGGCTCCTTGTGGCTTCTTTGACTCCTTCCCCTGCCTCCCACTCGACTTGGAGTGGGCTGATCTGGGCTGGACGAAAGGGCAGGGGACAGGGTGCGGGTGGGCTCGCCCCAGGGTGACTCTCCCTGGGTCATTTCCTAGTCTCATCTGTACAATGGGGGCGCCGACACCTATCTCTCAGGTCGTACATAGGGGCTAAGTCACATGCAGCTGGCCCCGGGCCCCACTGCTCCTCCTCTGCCCCATCTGCCGGCAGAGCGTGGGCTGGGCCATGCAGAAGTAGGGCTGGCCTAGCCAACACTTCCTGGTGTCCCCGACGACGCCACAGCCACTGGACTGGCTTCGGGGTTGGGCCTCCGAGCTGTGGGTGGCTCCGGGCTTCAATCTGCCATGACTTGACCTCTGACCCGTGCCTAGGATCCACGGCGTGTGAACGCCTTGCAAACATAGCGGTTTACTAGAGCACTGCAAGGAGCCATGGGGGGTGGGGGGTGGTGGTGGTGGTGGGTAACGTCTGAGTTGAGCTTCTAACCACCAGGCCTGCCGTTTGAATCCACTGGCTGCTTTGCGGGAGAAAGATGAGGATTTGTCCCATAAAGGTTGACCGATGAAGAAACCCACAGGGCTAGTTCTGTTCCGTCCTGTAGGGGTCGCTTGGAGTCAGGGTGGACTCAAGGGCAGCGAGGTGCTCTGGTTTGAGGGCTTGCTTTCTGAGGGGAATCACTAACTCCTCCAGGGCACGGGCAGGGTGAGGGCAAGAGTGTAGGGGGGGACGGGCAGCACTGAGCAACCAGAGGGCCAGGATGCTGTGACCGGTGGGTCATCGGGACCAGCCACCCATCTTCTGCACAAGCTTCTGAGAGCCACACAGATGGTTGCCCAGTGCAGAGCCTGACTCCTCACCAGGAACAGGGGGCAAGGGTCCGACAGGGGGAGCATACAGCCGCGCAGCCTGCTGTGGTTAGGTGCCATCGAGTCAGCTCTGACCCATAGTGACCCTACGCACAACAGAACACCCACTGCCTGGTGCTCACAACTGTTCCCACGCCTGAGCCCATCGAGGCAGCAGCTGTGCCCGTCTAGCTCGAGGACTGTCCTCCTTTCCTGCCGTCCCTCCCCCTTCCAGACATAATGCCCTGCTCCAGGGCCTGGTCTCTTGACAACATGTCCAAAGGATGTAGGACCAAGTCTCGCCATCTTTGCCTCGAAGGAGCACTCTGGCTGTATTTCTTCCAAGACACATCAGTCTGCCCTATAGCAGTCCTTTCAAATATTCTCCTCCAGCACAATCAAATGCATCTTCTACGGTCTTCCTCATTCCATGTCCAAGTTTCACATGCATATGATGCAATGAAGAACACCATGGCTTGGGTCAGGCACACCTTAGTCCTCAAAGTAACATCCTTGCTCTTCAATACGCTACCGAGGTCTTGTACAGATTTACCTAATGCAAAACATATTTTGATCTCTTTGACTGTTGCTTCCATGAGCCTGGATTATGGATCCAAGCAAGGCAAAATCCTTCACAACTTCAACCTTTTCTTTATTTATCATGTTACCTATTGTTCCAGTTTATCACGATGTTACTCATTAATCCAGTTGTGAGGATTCTGGTTTACCGCACATTGAATCATCACACTGCAGGCTGCAATCCCTGATCTTCGTTGAGTGCTTCAGGCCTCCTCACTGTCAGCAAACAAGGTGTCATCCGCACACCACAGCTTAACAAGCTTTCCTCCAATCCTGATGCTGCACTCTGCTTCGTATAAGCCAGCTTCTCTGGTGGTTTACTCAGCATAGACTGAACAAGTACGATGAAAGGATACAACCCTGATGCCCACCTTTCCTGATTTTAAACCAGGCAGTATTCCCTTGTCCTGCTCACACAACTGCCTCTTGATTCGCGTACAAGTTTGGAATGAGCACAATGAGGTGTTCTGGAATTCCCATTCTTCCCAAGGCTCTCCACAGTTTATTGTGGTCCACACAGTCAGATGCCTTTGCATAGTCAACGGAACACAAGTAAACATCTTTCTGGTATTCTCTGCTTCCAGCCAAGATCCATCTGACATCAGTAATGACATCCCTTGTTCCATGTTCTCTTGTGAACCCAGCCTGCACCTCTGGGAGCTCCGTCAACGTTGCAACCTTGGCCATCTCCTTTTGCCACTGCCAGCCACCTCTCAAGCAGGACAGCAAGCGTCAGCAGGACTCTGCCAGGCTGGCTGGTGGCCTTGGTGGTTCACCTTCCGTGGGGCCACCAGATTAGGCCTACACACCACGAATATGCACCAGCAGAAAGGTGCCAGGGCATCACCTCAGCCTTGATGACATGTTCCTGCCGAGGACAGGTCAGGGCATCACTGGCCTGTCCAGAGCATGGCTGGGATTTAGGATCCACGTTCCGAAGAGGAAGCTCTGTGCAGTAAGCCTGAGCAAGCTAGGCTCTAAAATCAGAAGACGAGGCTCCAGCCTGGCCTTTGGCTGGATAGCTTGTGCCTCTTGGGATCTGTCCCCTCAGCCACAAAATGGGGAGACTACTTCTCTCCCAAGGGCCCCACAGTCACACAGGCCAAGAAAACACTACGATGGCACAACTGCCCTGGTTGAAGGCAGGCTGCCCACTGTGCCCTTCCCTTGCTCGGAGGGGGCTGGCAGCAGTCCTTTCTTTAATCCTTGGTTTTGCACTGTACCCCCGGCAGCTACAGAAAGAATACAGGTGCTGGGAGGAGCCCTGCAGGTGGAGTGGGTATGTGTTGGGCAGCAATCTGAATAGACCAGATCTGTAAGCCAAAGATGAGGCTTTCTACTCCCAAGATTCACAGCCTCGGACTCCCACAAGCGCAGTTCTACTCTGTCCCGAGGGTGGCTTCGACTCAAAGGCTGCAAGCTTGGCTGCTGTTTTGATGGTGCTGTGGGTTAGGTTGCTAACAGGGTTGGTGATTCAAGCCCATCAGCCACTTGGGAAAGGAGCAGGTGTGTGCTCTCATAAAGGCTTATTTACACTCGGTGTCAACGCCCTAAAAAGTACGCCACCAGTTGGAACCAACTCGATGGCAGTGGGTGGGCGCATCCCATTAGATGGTTAGCAATCAAAATAGCCTCTACCAAGACTAGCTAGCCAATGACGAGGGTGTGTGGACACCCTCTCCCCGAGGTCACCAATGCAGGGATGGGTCTTTGTGGCCTCCTGCTCAGTCGCATGGCAATTACGCAGCCAAACCGAAAGCCAGTGGACCTGGACTCTTGCATCGGTCGGTAGAGGTGTTGTTCTGTAGTCGGCACGGGGCTAGGTCAAGAGCAGAAACCTCTGCCAAACAAAGGAGCCCTTGTGGCACGGTGGTTTACATGCTGAGCCGGAACCATCAGCGGCTCCAGTAAGACGGGCGGGGCTTTCTGCTTCTGCATAGTCTTGGAACGGTGACGGCAGCGTATGTACCAAAATGCATGGTACAATTGCTGTATGGGTTGTTCTAAGAGTGTAAAACCCCCCAATAAAATGATTTATCTTTTAAGAAAAGGTCTTGGAAACCTGCAGGGGTAGCTCTACCCTGTCTTATGGGGTCGCTATGGGTCAGAGTTGGTGGCAGTGAACGAAGTAAACATTGGAATCATAACAACACTTCCGGATTCCCCTCGGAGGCTATATAAGGGCCCTGGTGACACAGTGGTTGAGGACCGGACTGCCAAGTTCAAGGCGGGCATTCAACCTCTGTGGGAGAGACTGACAGCCTTGGAAACCCTGTGGGGCTGTCCTGCTCTGACCCTGGGGTCCCCGAGTTGAAACGGACATGTAAACATGTATATTATGTATAGGCACGGGCACACCAACTGAGTCATGCATGGGCCACTTGTCCCAATGCCCAGGTATCACCCTCTGCAGCCGGTTCACTGACGGGCACATTGGGGGAGCTTCCGACGGGGCTGGAGAGAGGGGTGAGTTGGCAAGTGGAAGGAGGTGGTCCCACCAAGTAGCCAGGTCACAAGAAACAATCACTTCTGGAGAATGGCTGGCGGGCTGGGTGGGTCCGCTAGACCCGGGACAGTGGGGTGCAGGCCCATCCCCTCCTCCTGTCAGGAGTCGGGCAGATGTGTATGGCATCAGAGGGCAGGCTAGACCCCTCCCCTTGCCCAGGGAAAATACTCTCTGGTGTAGGGTGGAGGGCAACGGGAGGAGGGGCCCCAGCTCCGGGGCATCTGCTGCCATGAGTGGAAGGGGGTTGCCGGGTCCATGTTCCGGGGAACACGTGGACAGCAGCATATGTATGCACTAGTTCTCTGTGGCGACTAGGCATGTCAGAGCCAGCTGGCGGTTTTCTGGGATGGAAGGACTCTGAAGCAGCTGATCAGCCAACAAAGCTACCCAGCTGCCCACCCCCCCACCACCCACACCTTCTCCCGTTGAGAAAGGAAGTCTTTCCACGTTCTTCTCCTTCACTGGTGTGGACAGACTGAAAGCCCCTCCAGGAACCCCCGGGGAACCTGCAGGTGACCCAGCTGAACCACCATGTGGTACAAACTCACAGCACCCCGGATGCCAATGGCAAGGACCTGGATGGGACTGAGTCCTGCTGGTGAGGGCAGACATTGTGGGGCTAGGCGACTGTGGAGCACCCTCACTGCCTGTACAAGCAAAGCCCCTCAAGCAGAGTGGAGCCCAGGACCTCAGTTGGAGCCTGCGAGTGACCCCAACATTCCCCCAAGCCTCAGCGATTCTGCCTGTTGTTGCCCCAGCCACCCAAAACAAGCATCACAAGGCCACAGGGCAGCTGGGACAGCTGCCCGATGTGCCACCAACTCGGGGACAGAGTCCCACCTGGCCTTGCCTAATGCTGGCCGACTCAAGGGTCATGCCTGCTCCCACAGCTTCTCTGCTGGCGCTGGACCACAGCAGGCCTTTCCCATGGGCCTGAGAAGGTTCTGGGCACGCTGTGAGGTCACACTTGCTCCTTGCACAAAAGGGGGCGAGGGTTTAGTGAAAAGAAAAAAGGTTAGCACACCCAGTGCCCTTCTGACAGGAGGGCTCACCCCTTCCCGTCATGGGCCTACTTAATGGGCTGGCAGGTCCCTGCCATCCCGACTCCCTGCCTGGGGCAGGAGGGCCTGCAGGCACAGACCAGGCGGCCAGAGTGCCGGCTGGCATGGGCAGGTGCAGGTCATCTAAGGGCACCCCACCCCATTTGCAGCACCTGAAAAAGCCATGACCACTCTCAGCACCTGCATGGGTTGCCGTGGACACTAATGATGTGCCTGACAGTGGGCAGAGGATGGGGCACAGGAATAGCCTGTTGTCAGAGTTCCTGCGTGTCCTCGGCTGGTGGGGACTGTGAGCACCTAAACCAGTGGTTCTCAACCTTCCGCACGCCACGACCCTTTAATAGTTCATGTCGTGGTGACCTCCCCAACCATAAAATCATTTCGTTGCTACTTCATAACTGCAATTTTGCTACTGTTATGAATTGGGCGACCCCCGTAAAAGGGTCATTCGACTCCCAGGTTGAGAACCACTGCTCTAACCAGAAGGGAAGGCTGTTTACACAATGCTGCCACTGAGACGGCCCGACACCAGTGCCCGCCCGCCGACAAGGCTGCAGTTGATCTCAGTAGTTTATTCAGAGACAAAGCAGTGCATGAGGACACCGCGCCACGCTGGGTGAGGGGCGACATGGGCCCGTTGGTTCATCACGGGAGCAGACGGTCCTGAAGGCTCCACTCCAGCCTCTTGGACCATCCCGACCACACACAGCACAGGCAAAGCCGCTGTCCCCTCTCCAGCGAGCTGGCAGCTTCACCTCACATCCGGGGCATCTTATCACAGCCCTGCCTGAGGCTCCAGGACCTAAGACCATCTCTGGGGTTGCAGCTCCTGCTAGCCATGCGTACAGGGGGCAGGCAGGGGCTGGACATGTGGACAGTGCCTCCCGCAGAGAAGGACTGACTTCCCACGCCTGCCCGCTTCCCGGCTGACTCTCAGAGCAACAGTCGTGCGTCTCAAGAGCGGTCTGCTGGCCCCTCAGTGTCCCCTGGCTGCCCCTGCCCTTGAAAGACAGGAGACAGTGGCCCAGCCAAAGTCATACTGCAGGCTCTCAGTGGGACACGTGCAGAGTGGCTGGACTCAGGCACCTCAGGGAAGGCTGTGGCCAGGACCCTTGGCCACGTGGCTGGTGGACTCCATGGAGCTGCCAGGAGGCCCGGCAGCCAACTGAGGCCTCGGCCTCCTCCTGACCTGTCCATCCCTTTCATAGGGGCCTGGGCAATGGAGAAGTGGACCCCGGGCCAGGTACCTCTGCCTGCCAGGGGGTGGCAGCTGTGGGCCTGAGGCTCCTGCTCCTGGGGGGGATGGGCGGTGGTGTGTGTGCATGTGTCAGGGTCACCCCAGTGGTGGGGCCTAGGGTCTCACGTCTGACAAAGCTGTGGAGGAGGGTGTAAGGTCTGAGGTTGGGGGGCTCGGAGAGAAGGGGATTCGCTCACTCCCTGGGCTGCAGCTGGCACCTGACCAAGGGTGTCCCCTTAGGATCCTGAGGCCTGGTCCCCAGCAGCCACCAGACATGGTGCAAACATACATGCATGCACACTGGGAAACACACCCGCACACCTGTGCTGGGCATGCCCCTGCAGCTCACAGTCAGGCCTAGTGTTGAAAACACAGCATGTAAACTCAGTAGAGGAGGGCAGGGCGGGGCTGGGGGCCTCTCACCTCCCCCTGCCCTCTTAGGTCAGGACGTTGGAAACTCGGGGACACTGGGAGGAGGAATCGGACCAGGGGAGTGCGTTGTCACGGTCCTGGCTGCGTGTGCGGCCGGCTACTGGGAGGAGGCCTTGGTGGCCAGGGAGGCCACGCAGTGCTGCTGGAAGCTGGGTGACACAGCAGCGGTGCAGCCGAGTCTCTGGTGCGGCAGCTTGGCTGAGCTGCCCGCGTCGGCCTCTGCCCTCCAGGCAGGGTCCTGGCCCCTCAGGCTGCAGCAGCCGGGGCTGGCGCTGCACGTCCGCTCGCCAGCCTGCTCTGCCAGGAGCCTGCTGTGCCTCCGTGGGGCCGAGTCCCCAGCATCCCCCGTGCCTGTGCTCTGGCCCTGCAGGACAGTGGCGATGTGGTTCAGGAGGTCTGTGAAGAACTCGCTCACGCCCTCGTAGCCTGGAGGGGGGTGGGGTGGGCAGAGAGAAAGCAGAGGGCCATGAGTGGGGCAGTGGGCAGGGGCCCTGATGCCCACCCACTGGAGAGGAGAGTGAAGCTCCGCAGACAAGTCAGGGCCTGTGAGGAGCTGAGGGGCAGGCTTCTGGACCCATGGCCAACTCACCCAACACCCAGGCCAGGGTGAGCATGGCAGGGAGGGGGCAGGCCAGGTCAAAGGCCCACTCCTTATGCTCTGAGGAGTGAATTCTCCTGGACCCCATGGATCTGGTCGGATCCCAGGGCTCAGTTTCCCCACGTGCTACCAAGGAACTCCCACATTTCACAGCGGAGGCTTAGTGTGCACCACTGGTGGTGGGTGGGTGGGGGCAGTATGTACTAGACTGGGCCCATTTCCTTGCCCGTCCAGGCAGCCTGCAGGCAGCCCTGGCCATCATGCACGATGCAAACGCCTGCCTCCCTGCATCCCTCAGGAACAGAGGCGGTGAGTTGGGCTGACGTCAGCAGGGGTCCAGGGGAGCTGCCTGGCAGGTTGGGATCCAGGGTGGAGATTCTGCTGATGCCCAGCTAACAACAGTCTCTGGGCAACCAGAAACCTGGTGCGGGTGCTGCCTCACACCTGGGACAAGAGCTGGGCGCACCCCCTGCCATGGCTCACACCTACTAGAAGACACCCACAAGGTGTGACGCTGCCACCATGGCTGTGCCCATGACCGCCCCCTCCCCCCCCCCACCAGGTGGCCATTCACAGGAGGGCCACAGGGCAGGGCAGGGCGGGGCTGGAGGTTGGGAATGTGCCCTTTCTACAGAAAGGTCCCCGAGGCAGCTGTTGGCCGGTGACCTGTCTGCCTGTCTGCACATAGCCCTGTGAGGAGGATGGGTAGAAGGGGTCACCATGGTAATAACAGAGATGATGAGTGAGCCCCTGTGCTCAGAGCATTCAAGCACTGGCACCAATCAGCCCACGGCCACTCTCCTTATGCTTCCCCGTCAGTGTCCCCTGTCCCTGCTGTACAAGATGAACAAACAGCAGAGACTGGGAGATGGGAGAGCGCAGTGCCAGAGAGACAGGGGCCGGCAGCAGGCAGACACACGCTGGGCGCTGGGGCCAGGAAGACGGGAGCACTGAGGGCCCTGCACCCACAGCCGTTTTACACAGGAAACCGCCAAGGCTTGGAGAGGCCCCGTCACAAAGCTCCAACGAGGTGGAGCGGGATGTGAGCCATGCCGTCCAGTCCTGTCTGGGGCCCCATCTTAGGTATGTGGGCTCCTTCCAGGCCCAAGTCCTACCTGAAGGGCCAATGTTCGGAGTGTGGGTAGGGCCTGGCCAGACATGGTCCCCCGGGGGGAGGACACCCAGAGGAGCAGCCCGGTTTCCAGGGCAGAGGCACAGCCTGGGCAGGAGCTGTGAGCCAAGTGTCAGGTGAGACACAGCAGCTCCCTCAGCAAGGGCTCTGCCCCCCAGACCAGGCACCAAAGGCTGGGAGGGTGCCTATGCTGGGAGGGGGTGAGTGGGGGCAGCCCTCTGGGTGTGCTGAGGCCCAGCCGGTGGGACCTATAGCCCCTCTCTTTGCTCCCCAGAGTCCGTGCACCCCAGTCCAGGCACCCTCCTCTGAAGCCCTGGGTCAACCTCTCTCCTCACCAGCGACCAGTCCGTGCAGGTCGTCCTGCTACCGCACACATGCCAAGCCCCAGGGGAGGGCGGCAGCAAGCCTGGCACACCCAGCAGCAGAGCCCTGGGAGTGGTGCCTGCCTCAACCACGCCCACTGGTCACCTGGACACAGACTTCTCCCTGTCCAGGCCTGGGCTCCAGCCTCCCTCTGTCTCCACTCCCTTTTGTCCCCTGGCTTGGCCCTGTCCCTTGGGCAGCCTCTGACCACCTAGGTGTCCACCCTGCACTGTCAGCCCATCTGTTCCCAACCTCTCACCTGCCCTCCTGTATACCTAGGACAGAGGCTCAGAGCCCATCTGCTTTGGGGGACCCCCTCAGCTCCACAGTGAGCACACCAATCCCAGTATCCCTGGTTTCCACACTAGATTTATGAGTGTGCCACTCAAAATTCAGCTCACTTATGAAAACCTGCACTGTGGCAGAGCCTGCCTGCCCCAGGAAGCCATGTGCTGCCACTCCCTCCTCCCCACTGGGCACAACCACAAGGCCAACTGTGTAGAGCCCACAGGGCTCAGCCCCTATCTCACTCGGAGTCTGATCTAAGTGCCCCCTTCACCCCAGGTCTGGCGCCTTCCAGCCCTATAACACTGCAGCCTGGGAGCCTGCACCACCCTGGCCTCTGCTGGGTGGACTGGGGGTCTCGTACAAGTCCCCTTTCTCTCTGGCTACTGCCTCCCAGGGTACGTGAGGCAGCACCTATACCCAGTGCCGGGACAGCGAGGGCAAGCTCATGCTCACAGTCAGCCCGGCGCCCATGGGGTGTCACCCGGCAACGTGCCTTAGTGAGTCCCTCGGGCTGCCTGGACTCTGTGGGAACCCAGCCTCCTGGGGGGCCATCTCCACACGCACGGAGCTCTGCCCTGCGGCAGCGTGTGATGAAGGCCAGAGCCCAGGGGAGGAGGACGTGTACCCACCGTCCACGCTCCTTCCCTCCCGGCCCACCCCCACCCCGATGGGGAGGCGCAGGCTGTGTGGGGGCCGTGAGATCAGAGGTGAGGTGCCCCTCCCTGCTGTGACTGACCCACGCAGCTGAGGCAACGGTGGCCCGGTGCAGATGTCACTGCATGCCCACTGCACCACCTGGTTAACGGGGGCCTGTGTGAGGGGAGGTCTGTTTTCAGGCCAAGCACAACCGAGCTGCACAACAGGAAGAGGGCTGGCTTGGTGACGCACTCCTCCAAGGTGGGGCCACCCAGACACGCCACTTGGGCTCAGAGCCCAGCTCCGGGTCTGCCAGAGGAGGACCCTTCCCCT